CTGCTTTCAAGTCTTCTGGGTATATGTGATAAATAGTATCTCTTAGTAAGTTTCCTTTCTACCGGGTTATTTTGAAAGAGGTAGTGAGTTTTCCCGGAGATTCCCTTAATGCATAATTTTTTTGTAAATACACCACGGATATGTGGTGGCACTGAAACATGGGCTCGGCATGTCAAGCCCTTAAGAGTTCCTGTTCAGAAGCTGACCTGTTTCCTTTCTCAGGGAAGATGTAGTTAATATCCACCAGGCATCTCAGTCCAAGAGACAAAGGGTGTTACCACAGGGACCTGTATATCTGTCTATCGGAATACAGAGGGGTTTTTGTTTTGTTCTTTTTCTTTTTTTTTTTAAGTAGGTTCCATGCCTCACATGGAGCCAAACACTAGGATTGAACTCATGACCCTGAGACCAAGACCTGAGCTGAGATCAGGAATCAAAGGCTTCACCAACTGAGTCACCCAGATGCCCCTCAATACACAGTTTTAATTTTATTTCAATGGCAAGCAAAGGTCCCGGGGTAGAAGTACAAGACTAAGGGGAGCTGCCTAGACCGTGCTGAGCAGCAGCTGCTGGTGGAACAGCCCCGAAGGGGGGGAGGCAGACCTGCGAGCCCGTTAGTCTACAGCCTCTGCCGCTGGCTCTGAAAATGGCTCCGGAAACCTATTTGCGCGAGTGCGCTCAGTTCATTTCATAAGGGATTTGTTTATAAATTTGTGGACTTCACACTACACCTTGCAAGAGACATCCTGTCGATCTTAGCATTCTGTAATGTTCCCATTTAAGGCGACTTTCTACTTCTCTGTTTCTGTTTTCTGCACAGTCCGGCTCTGGGTGGTGAGATGCCATTTACCTAGGATTCACAGAGCGAGCATTCTCCGGCTCGCTCTCCCTCCGCCCAAGGATCGCACAGATACTGTGGGGGAGGAGAGGCTGCTTATAAAAGAGAGGCGGTGCCTCGGAAAGCCTGGGCTCTACTCCCTCTGTCCATTTGTATGACAAAGAAGGCAAAAATCTCTGGTGAAAACTCAGCGCTCTCCGCGGGGGCTGAGGCCATTTTAACCCAAATTCGAACTCGGACAACGGGAACACAGCCAGCCTTACCGAGAAACAAAAGTGAATATCTCCGCACTGCCCCGCACTCATGGACTCAGAATTTTCCCTGCTCATTCTAGTCTTTTGTTACCTGGGCCGGCTGGTTCCCCGGGAGCCCCAGGATCTCGGAAGGGCAGGGGCTCTGAGACTCCCAGCCCGGCAATCCCCGGACTAAAGAGCACCAGGGCAGCTCTCCCGGGAGCTGCCGGCTCCTCATCGGGGAAGGGGAAGGCCTGGGAGAGAAAAGAGGGAGGACACTGGCATAGGAGCAGAGACAGTGACAAAGCTGAGAAAGCTGAGGTCTCGGTGGGGCCCAGGGAGCCCGTGCACCACCTCCTCGCCTCAGTCACGCTATGGGGCTGCGACCCCTTCCTCTGGGCATTCGACTTCTTTACGTCGATGTTCGGACTGGTAGCTTTCCAATATTTCTAGCTGGAGAGTATTAGGAAGGGCGGAAAAAAGGAAATAATGATGGATTTGCAATTTCTTTCAATTCCTCTTCATTCATTGGCCAAGTGTCGGTTGCCTAGGAAACCGCGTGCAGCTCGCCGCGGAGAAGGCTGTGCGGCTACCCCGGATTTGGGCTGTGTATTAAGTGGTGAATGCAGGCAGGCAGTAAGGAAACCGGAAAGCTACATGTCTTGTAATTTCAGCGTGTTAAAAACAAAAACAAACAAACAAACAAACAAAACTTGCTTTAAGAAAACAATGCTTTTATAAAAATTCACTACCAAATCAGCAGTACAATGCTCCCTATCAGACTTCAATTAATTAAAACAATGACTCTGTGTGTAATCATAGAGAAATGTAAAATCACTTAGGATTTGCCATTGAATATACTCTGCATATTGTGAGAGCTTTATTAGACTCAGGGATATCTCACTCAACCTCAGCCACCCAATCTGTTAGGCATAAAATAAATGTTGGATTTTATTTTATGCTGCCTTATTTCTACAACTGTCTGTGGAAGGGAAATTTTAGAAATATTGGTACATGATTAAAGCTAACAGCCTGTAAGTGAAGGTGAAATATATTGTCCTGACACCTTTCACGTCTGATATACAATGACCTAGGTGGAGAAGAATTGTGTATAATTCACAAAAAGAAAGGCTGGAGGACCCCACAGAGACCGAATCTATTTATGCTCTGGAGGCTCCTTACTAGCCTCTCCTCGGGAGCTGTACGGAATAAAGCTGATAAGGATTAGCAGCAGATAAACGGAAAGAGGGGGGGGGGAGATTTGGCTGTCATCAACGCTCAGCCTTCCGACACAAAATCAGCTTCTTGCGAAAATAAAAATGTGCAGCAGCGTAATTCCAAATTGGGAAGGAGAGGGGGCATGCAGAGGCGTAAAGCCCTTAACAGAAGCGCGGGCTCCGCAGAGGCTGGGGTGGGCCATAGTACCCGCAGAGGTATGAAAGGGAGGGCATCCGGGCTTTCCGAAGAGTGAGTTGCAGCCTCCCCCTATCCCAAGCCTTCTCCCCTAAAATAAACCCGAGAGGAAAGGGCCTTTTATCCACATAATCTCGACTCGCGTTTTCATCCGACACTCCGCGGCAATCTGGCTCTGAAACCGAAGCTGAGCAAATAAACCGTTAGGTGAGGGAGGCTGGCGACTGGCTCAAATTTCCCGGCCTGGAGCAGAGCCCCTGGAGCGCCTCGTACGTACCAGGGTTGCCCCTTGGCGCTGGCCGCCAGGTGCTCACTGCTGGGCGCACGTCTACACAGAGCGCGGGTGCAGCCCCAGCTAGGGGCCTTCCCGCGCGGCTCGCTCCCACCGGAGCCGCCACCCCCAGGTCCGGGTGCGGACACCAGCCACAGCTCTTTTGGCCTGAAAAAGGTCACCATCCCCGAGGGCTAGGCCGCCTGCAAGCCGGGATTCCAGCCTGAACCCTGTTTTTAAGGTCTGCCTTTAAGGTCCCCCTGCCGTGGGACCTTGGGAATCGTTCACCCTCGACGCTTCTGCGTCTGTAGGAGCTGAGTTAGAAACTCGGGGTTCTAGGTCCTTGGAACTCTTAAATGGGGCATGTCGGAGGCTGTTCTGCTCCTCTGCCTCTCGCCCGACCCATCGTAACCCCAAGAAGGGAAGCGGTGTCTGGGGAATTCTGTCCCGAAGGTTCAGTCTGGGCGCCATGGGTGTTTGGGGAGGCTGGGCTTTTGTTCTCCCGGTTTCTCTTTGTGCACTGGAATTGAGTTGAAAGCCCCCCTTCCACCTCCCAGCGGGAGAGAAAGGCTGTGACAGCTTGCTGATAGTTGTGGGAGGGTCTCACTCAACAGCTGCAGTCTCCGCTCCCCCACGGGAACCCGAGTCATTCGGCCCTTCTCGCCAGAGGATGAAAAGGGGTCACGTCACCTCGCCGACGACCCGTCCCGAGTCCAGAAGGGGAGGGGCGCTTCACCCATAGAATTGCAGGGGCCAGGTTCCAGGTCAGTAGTGAACATTTCAGCTACCCTTTCCGCTCCTACCCTTGAACGCAAGCAGGATGAGCACCATCTCCCCAGCCCCCACATACATACACACGAAAAGTAACAAAGAGATCAATCATCTCCTTCGACCACCTAGAAACTGCGGATTTGAGTGTCAGTGCTCGGAGTCTGCGCACGCGCTCTGTGCGTGTCAGGGTCTCGGATGGCTGCTCCCTCGCTGTGCCGCAGTTTTTAGGCGTGTCCCTCATCCCCACCAACAGCAGGAAGGTTGGGGACCTCGTGGCCGCCTCAGGGTCCGGCACTTGATGAACGATAAGAGTGTGAGCGGTGTAGTGGGCGATGATCATCCGCGGAACCCATTTCCCTACTGGAAAATAGATGAACGAAACCCAGAGAGGGAGAGCGACGGGGGTGTGATTTTTAAAAACTAGGCTGTGGGACTTATCCCATACTTTTGTGAGCCCTTTGTTCTGCCGCAGCCCCGCCCCTCGGACCCCACCCTCGTTCTGACCGCTGAACTGTACCCGTGCGCGGACAGCCACACCCACCCCATCCACTCCCAAGAAACAAAAAGCCAGCCCGAGAGGTGGAGGGGTCTTTGGTACCAGCCAGGAAGCTGGGGACTCTTGGACAGAGTCGGATGGGGCTGGAAGGGATGCGGAGGTTGCCCCACCCCTGGATGCTGCAACCGCAGTGAGAGGGAGCAAGCCCTTGACAGAGACAAAACGGAGAGCAGGCGGATGCTGGGGGCAGGACGAAGGTCCCCCGGGGCTCCTGGGATTTGGGGGTCCAGGGTCACGGCTCTTCAGACCCCACAGCCTGATCACACACAATTTTCTCCCGGGCTCGTCCAAGGCTCTGTGTGACGAGGGTTCGGCCGCTGGACAGTCTTTGGCTTCTAGGGCTGGGGAAAGAGGCAGTGGTCTCACCAGGGGCGGGTAGCTTAGGGATTTCCGGCCGTTGGCCGAGGAGGCGTCTCAGTCAGCGCTGGCAGTGCAACCTACGCCACCCTCTACCCTTCCACCTGCCAGCACCGGGAGCACAGCGCACCTGAGGGCCTCTCCACCTGCTCCAGTCTCTGCTCACCCCATCCAGTGCCAGCTCTCCCCACCCCCCACCGGCCTGCCACAGGGGTCGCCCTCGCTTCGCCACCCTCCCACCCTCAGTTCCTTCACCTACCCCCCAATTCTCAGTTCCCAGCTCTTTCACCTCCCCCCGCCCCAAGTCCTAGACAATGCCCACGCCTCCACCCTACTACCCCAAACCCCCACTCCTCGCCCGGTCCGCAAGCCTGTGCTGATTGGCTGCGGGCCCAATGTCCAGCCCCCAGGATGGTCCTTGGGGCTCGGAGCATTACGTCAGCGGGGCCTGAAGAGCTCTAGCGCGAAGGGGACTGGGGGGCTCGGGCTGGGGGCGCGGCCTACGCAGGCCGCCCCACCCTCCTTGCATAAAAGGCTGAGTCCTCTGGGCCGGCGCTCTCAGCCAGTAGGTTCCCGAGCGCGTTGCCGGTGACCCCACAGTGGGTGTTTAAGGGAGGACGGGACAGACTGACCAGACGCCGACAAGAGCCCGAAGAAGCTAGCAAGCACCATGCGTGAGATCGTGCACATCCAAGCGGGCCAGTGCGGCAACCAGATCGGTGCCAAGGTGGGCGCGCCGGGAGGGGAGGGGTCCAGAGGGGTGGGGTGCCCCGGCCTGAAGGCCCTCGGAGTTCCTCCGCGAAAGCCCCGACCTGAGCAGGCCCGGGGCTCCCCAGGCACAGACCTTCCCGGCAGCTTTGTGCGGCCGTGTGGGGCGTGGGCTCGGAGGCGACTTGGTGGGGGTTGGGAGGAGGAACCTCGCTTTCATTTTTGCTGTAACTCATTTGGAATCCCGGCCACTCCTCGGCGCCCGCTTATCCCCTGCTCCTCCCTTGGCCAGGCAAGCTTGCCTGGAGAAGGCGCGGGTATGTCCGCGAGGTTGTGCGCACGGGTTTACAGGAGGGGCCCGGACGCGGGTAGAAATGGTTTTATCCGCTAGACCCGCAGTCGAGCTGTGGGGGAGGGGAGAAGAGCGATTGTCTTGAGGTCTCTGGACGTGCTTTGAATCTCAAACCACCCTCCTTCCGTTCCCTCCTTTCCTTGCTCCCCAGCCCACCCCCTCTGCGCCGCCTGGAGTCCCTGAGCGCCCGCCTCCCGCCGCCGCCCGCAGCTGCGACTCTGAGCGCGAAACTCCGCGGCCGCGCTAGCCCTGGGTTTGCGGCTCTAAGCCTCCCCGCCCACCGCCACCCGAAGGGACCCCCGCCTCTTGCCGCCGGCAGCTGTTCGCCAGGGAAACGCCCAATTTCAACTTTCTGACCCTGCACGATACAAGCCTTACGGCTGAGCCGGGTCACGCTGCCTGAAAGCTGGGGTTTTTGGAACTGAGTCGGGGGCTTTTTATTGTGAGACTCATTACCCCTTTGAGAGCTGGGCATGGCTAAATGCAAACTTTTTCTGTGTCTTAGTTTTGGGAGGTCATCAGTGATGAGCATGGGATCGACCCCACTGGCAGTTACCATGGAGACAGTGATTTGCAGCTGGAGAGAATCAATGTGTACTACAATGAAGCCACTGGTAATTGCTTTGCCGGCACGCCCCCCCCCCCCATTTCAATTTTTTACTCTCCTGTTCCCAGGACTTACTCCAGGAGTGTGGCCCCAGGGGAGGGTGGACCAGCGGATTTAGGATTCCCACTGTTTCACTGGAGCAATTTAGGGGGCGCGTTCACAACCAAGGCCTTTGAGAATATGATGGGTTCTGTGTCCTTCTTTGTTTGGGGACAACAGTAGTGCCTGCAAAAGGGGAAAAAAGGCTTTCTCTTTAGAACTCTCTGCTTGCACATTTAAGTCTAGCTGTCTTCCCTCCAGGTAACAAGTACGTTCCCCGGGCCATCCTGGTGGACCTGGAGCCGGGCACCATGGACTCCGTCAGGTCTGGGCCATTCGGCCAGATCTTCAGGCCGGACAACTTCGTGTTTGGTGAGTGATTGACATGGCTGATGGCATGGGAGGCTCATTTGACACAGTACAGCTCAGGGCGGAGGCGTATAGCCGCCTAAGGGAGAGTACTGTATGAAGAACATCCCCTTGTGGGCCCATTCAGTCTTAATATAATCTAAAACAAATTTACCTTTCAACCTTTAATAGCTAGGTATTTCTGGCCTTCCTTGTTTATAATTATATCTCTAACCAAATATTGTAATGTCTGGCCATTTTGGTGGTAATGTGAGATAATCTTATCTGAACACTGACTCATTGATCTATATTAAGGGGTTTAAGGTAAAATAGAATTTAATCCAGTCATCAGTGACTTATAAAGTGTCTCCCTCTGGCAGGCCAGAGTGGTGCGGGAAACAACTGGGCAAAGGGTCACTACACAGAGGGAGCCGAACTGGTGGACTCGGTCCTGGACGTGGTGAGGAAGGAGTCAGAGAGCTGTGACTGTCTGCAGGGCTTCCAGCTGACCCACTCACTGGGGGGCGGCACGGGGTCCGGGATGGGCACGCTGCTCATCAGCAAGATCCGGGAGGAGTACCCAGACCGCATCATGAACACCTTCAGCGTCATGCCCTCGCCCAAGGTGTCCGACACGGTGGTCGAGCCCTACAACGCCACCCTGTCCGTGCACCAGCTGGTGGAGAACACGGATGAAACCTACTGCATCGACAACGAGGCCCTGTACGACATCTGCTTCCGCACCCTGAAACTGACCACCCCCACGTACGGAGACCTCAACCACCTGGTGTCGGCCACCATGAGCGGCGTCACCACCTGCCTGCGCTTCCCGGGCCAGCTGAACGCCGACCTGCGCAAGCTGGCCGTGAACATGGTGCCCTTCCCGCGCCTGCACTTCTTCATGCCCGGCTTCGCCCCCCTGACCAGCCGGGGCAGCCAGCAGTACCGCGCGCTCACGGTGCCCGAGCTCACGCAGCAGATGTTCGACTCCAAGAACATGATGGCCGCCTGCGACCCGCGTCACGGCCGCTACCTGACCGTGGCCGCCATCTTCCGCGGCCGCATGTCCATGAAGGAGGTGGACGAGCAGATGCTCAACGTGCAGAACAAGAACAGCAGCTACTTCGTCGAGTGGATCCCCAACAACGTGAAGACGGCCGTGTGCGACATCCCGCCGCGCGGCCTCAAGATGTCGGCCACCTTCATCGGCAACAGCACGGCCATCCAGGAGCTGTTCAAGCGCATCTCGGAGCAGTTCACGGCCATGTTCCGGCGCAAGGCCTTCCTGCACTGGTACACGGGCGAGGGCATGGATGAGATGGAGTTCACCGAGGCCGAGAGCAACATGAACGACCTGGTGTCCGAGTACCAGCAGTACCAGGACGCCACGGCCGATGAACAGGGGGAGTTCGAGGAGGAGGAGGGCGAGGACGAGGCTTAAAGTCACAAAGGAAAGCAGGTTAGGGAAAGTCCAGAAGGAAAGCACGGGGGAGGGGGGCTTAGTGGTGAAAATCTCTTGGCAGTTGAAGGAAAGAAGCATGGTCTTCTCTAGGTGTGTGCGCTGGTTCTCTGGTGCTCTTCACTGTTGCCTGTCATTTTTTTTTTCTTTTTGTAATATTGATGACATCAATGTAACATTTGAGATATTTCTGAACTACTGTTGTAATGGCTAAAATCACATAAACGTTTGTGTCCTAATGGTGTCCTCTCTTCTGTCTCCTTCTTCTCCTTTTTGACTTCTTTATTATGGTTTTGCCTGTTAACTTTCAGAACACATCATATTAAATTCTTCCTCTAGAAAAGGGGAGGGATAGGTAAAAGTTCAAATGAATTTACTCTGTCGTTATGGGAAAACCAAACCAACCACAGTCATACCCAATATAAGATGTGACATCAGTGCGAATCTGTAAATACCCTTAAATATTTTATTAGTCGAAATGATACCTCCTTGAAAGCAGACTAAGTGTAATTTTGTTTAGAAATCCTTCTATATCTTTACTTCTTAAAAAGAATTTTTTTTTTTAATAGTTACTACTTGCATATAGCACACAATTCTAAAGGATAGAGAGTGGAAAGGAAGTCTCTTCCTCCTTGCTACAGTTTTCCTCCCTGGAGGGGAACCATTCTTACCACTGTTGTCTCTCCGGCATCCTTGCAGAAATGTTCCATTTATCTTCAAATGGATGTAGGTTATTCCCTTTTTTTCTCTCTTCACACATCTTATGATGATAGTAACACTGTTGTGCTGCCTCTTTCCTTCACTGAACATTATGTTTAAAACACAGAGCTTCCCACAGTACCCATTATGTAATCTTGCCATGCTTTATTTCACTGGTTCCCTACCAATGGCCATGTAGGTTGTCTATGCTTTTTTTTTTTTCATAGTGCCCCAGTGAATAATTTTGTGCATATATCATTGTGTATATGAGACCAGCTATCCTGCAAATTTCTCTGTGGAGATCTTCTGCCCCCATTGCAACACGTTCTATCTTAGATTGGGCGAGTCAGTTTCTCATCTGGGAAGCAGAAGTGGAGTGTTAAGTTATAAACAAATGTACATTTATTTACATACCCCTATAGGATTAAAAAAATGTAGGCTTAGGATTTTTCTAATGTTTAGACAAATGCAAAATTAGGAAAAAATATTACTCTAAATTTGACCCTATATTTATTTCATTCTAGTTGGTTCTACTGCATCAATGTTTTTTAAAAGAAAGAGAAAGAGAAAAAATGAGGGTTGGATAAGGGATTTCCACATTAAAGAGGCTGAAGAATATATGAAGACGGTTCCAAGGAAAAGTGTGAACAGTATCTACATAATGTTAAAATGGCCTCCAAAATGGAAAAGAGCAGCAGTTTACAAGTATTGGCTATTATAAAAACTAGACCTAGTGACAAGTAGGGTCAAATGGATCAGAGTCAGTGACTTCTTCAATTTTCTATATTCAACAGTGAACTGGCTGGTGCCACACATGCTGAGCTGGTGTAAAGCTTCCAACAACTTAATTGAAGGGTAGCATTGGTTTTTAATGCCCTGAATACTGGGTCAGCTGCCAGGGCCCCCTGGATCCTTGGCCATGCGTTCCCCACAACCTGTCAGACTCATGATCGGTTACTTCGGAGAAGGCAGGGATTGCTGCCAGGTGCTTGTTGGCATACTGTGAGTATCCTGCTTCTCTTTCCCACCTTGTGAGAGGGGGACAGGCAGGCAGCCGGCAGGCCAGCCTGCTAGCCTGTCAGCATACGCACGTGTGCACACGGCTAGAGCCTCACTTCAGCGTGATTAAAACGGCAGGTGCCAGGCTAACCTGTCAAGCAGATGCTCCGGGGCAAAGCTTTCAAAGCACAGTTGCATAAGACGACTTGAAATGCATGCTTAGGAAAACAGTTCAAAAACAAGAAAATGTGGACTAACACTTCGATTAAAAGATTCTTTTGGAAACTCTTAGTTTCCTTTGTTACATTACCATTGTGTGATGGAATTTGGAGTGATGGTCATGGTCATGGTGGTGGTGGTGGGCAGGGGGGTGGGGATGGTGGTGTGTGTGTGTGTGTGTGTGTGTGTGTTCAACCCTTTACAAAGGAAATGTTCTATGACTCCCTGATGTACCACCAGGAGGATATTCACTTTGAGGCAGACACAGCATCCAAATTATAACAGGTATTGGGATGTGATAAAAATTCGATGATTAGGATGAGGGAGGAGGAGCTGGAGTTGCCTTAAGGTCTTCCCAAGAGTCCAGAAGGAACAGTAACATATGTTCCAAATTTTTGCCTGCACCTCTACACCAGACCCAGAGATGATCTTAGACTATGTTAGATTTGCCATTTCATCACAAGGTTGCTAGATTAATAGAAATTTGAGCCAAAAGCAACCTTAAGAGGTCATCTGGTTTGACCTCCTTACTTTGTAAAGAAAGAGGTTGAGGCTCAGAGTCTTGTCTAAGATCACTTAATTTTTTCCGTACAAATCACATTGTGGACTTAGCGTTCTTTTCTCTACAGCTGCCTCTCTCAGGTCCTGTTATGTACAAGGCCACTTGAAAGAAAAGAGAAAGTCCCTGGCTTCCAGAAAAAAACTCAAAGATGTCCCTCGGTCTGTAGCTCAACTTCCCTGGATGAGTAGGACAGAGATGAAGTGCTGAAGGGCTTTTGTTTCTAGTGGGGTCACTGTTTGACAGACTATGCTGAATTTCCTGGTTCTAAAAATACCATATATACAATATCCTAATGTAATTCTGATTGCAAGATATTCTGGGGCATGGTTATTGTGAAAATGAGTAAGAAAGTAATGAGTAATAAATAGCACTTTGGAGTGCCACCCTTTACACATCCTCATTTTAATTAAGATGTGACATATACTAGACAAAGCTATTTGACATCTACTCTAATGCCGATTTCTTCCCATTATTCAAAAGATATTATATTGTGTAGTCCTGCTTTTTTAAGTGTACCTCAAAGCTGAGCTATTTACTCGAAACCTGACTCATTCATACCTTTGTTTCTTAGAGGCCTTTTCCCTATCCATCCTGTTCCTCATGTTTTTTAGTTTGGTTTGGTTTGGTTTTTAGAGAGAGAGAGAGTGCACACGCTGGGGTGTAGGAAGGGCAGAGGGAGAGGAAGAGAGAATCCCATGATTCCCACGAAGTGCAAAACCCAATACGGGGCTCCATCTCTCAATCCTAAAATCATAACCTGAGCTGAAATCAGGAGTCAAACCTTTAACTGAGTGAACCACCCAGGCGCCCCTTTCGTCATGTTTTTCTTAAGGCGCGCTTGCCAGCACATACCCAAGAGAAGCCTATCTGAGCGCAGCCTATTTCACTCAAAATGTTTAGTTTTTCTCTTAACCGAGATAAAATTGACATGCCATAAAAGTCACCATGCATAAGGGTACAAATGAGTGAGTGTTAGTATATTCACAGAGTTGTGCAACTATTACCACTATGTAATGGCAGAATCATCACCCAAAATTCAAACCCCATGCCCATTGGCAGTCCCTCCCCAGCCCCTCTCCCTCCATCTGCTGCACAACCACTAATCTTTCTCTCACTATGGATTTGCCTGTTCTGGACTTTTCATATCAATGGAATCATACAGTAGATGTGGTCTTTTGTGTCTGGCTTTATTTTTATTTTTATTTTTTTTACTTAGCATAATGTTTCCAAGGGTCATCCATGTTGTAGCATGCTTTAGTACATCATTCCTGTTTATGGATGAACACTACTGTGGTGTATGGATATGCCACATTTTGTCTATCCATTCATCAACTGGTGGGCACTTCTGTTGTTTCTACTTCTTAGCTATTAAGACTAATGCTACTATGAACATTCATTTACAAGTTTGCATGTGTGTATATGTTTTCATTTCTCCTGGATATACATCTCGGAGTGGAATTGTTGGGTCATGTGGTGGTAATTCTATGTTCACAATCATTTTGACTTCCACCTAAGGATGGAAATGCTTTCGAATTTTCCCAGAAGTCCAGGATAGAATAGAGATCAGGCAAGCCCTGGCTTTTGCATTTGGGCATCCATATAGAGTCTTAAAATTATAGTTATAGAAATGGAGGAGAATGTAGGGAGCTAACATGACTCCATCAGTTTGCAAATGAGGAAATGAAGCCTCATTGCTTAATTAGCAATGTTCCCTGGTCACTGTCTCTGTTCCCTAGCAACAGTGACTCTGAATTATTTTTTTCCTCTCACTTAAAAAATTGTAGAGACACGTGGTCTAGGCCATGTGGCTCCAGAAATCCTCTTTCTGCTCTACTGATCCTTGTCACTGGCCTTCAGATTCACATTCCCCTCAGGCCACAGAATGGCCACTGCAGCTCTGGTCATGATAAGGAAGAGTGGGAAGAAGAAGGGCAAAAATGTACCTTCCAGCTGAGTCAGCCACTTTAAAGATTATGTCAAGGGTTCCCTGCCCTGCCCCCACCAATGGCTTCTACTTGTACTTCCTTTTCTGCAGGGAAGGCTGAACAAAGGAGGCTTTTAGATGGGTGCATTATCCAGCCCCCCAACCATGTAAAGGTTCTATTAGGAAGGAAGCAGTGGAGAATAGACACTATATGGGAAAATGGTAGTTTTCTCCATAATTAAAGAATGGCTAAGAAGTGATATTGACTCAGATCTTTCTACTCCTCATCCAGTGCTCTCCAAAGACGTCAGTTTGCAAGGGTCGTCATGAAGCTAAGAGTCCTCGTTTTCTAAAACAGAGAGCTGAAAACTGAATGAAACATTTCTTGATTCAAATTTCTGAATCAAAATGTTTACTTACTTTTCAGCATTTCTAACTTGTAGTCAACTGAGGACAGCACATGTCCGTGACTTCGAGAGAAATTCCTATCAATGACCTATAATGAAATGGCCATATTAGGTTGGGATGATCATGAACATTTATCAGCTAAAGCAATGGGATTTTTTTTTTTTTCACAAATATATTTCACTGGGACTCACAAACCTGATCACTGAGGAGAAAGAACCAAGACTACTTTGATGAGTTGGGTGGGAGGAGAGGGCACCAGGGAGCCCTCCAGGCATGAGCAGCTGTGGGACCACATGGGGCACGTGGAGGAAGTTATGGGACACACCTGCTCAGGAGGATATTGGTAGGCATCAGTGACTAATGCAGTCAAAGGACCAGAGGGCCAGCCCATTCATGCCAGGGACTCTGTGGGACGCCCACATCCGGAAGTAGATGGGAATCTG